GCACTGCTGCTGTGTGAGATGCGATCACACACTCACACACACTCACACACACTCACACTCACACACAACAGTGGTGCAGTGGCTACAAAAGGCTGCACTGTAGCCAAAAAGGTCACAAGACTGATCCCTGCAGCGGCCGACGTGTCCATCAAGAGCTGAGGGTCGTCCGTCGAGACAATACAGCTCACTGTGCTCAGTCACTGTGACTCAGCTCAATGCTGGAAGTGGTACATGGGAAAAGAAGTGTCTTTATAGCCACACACACTCATGCTCACTCTCACTCTCACTCTCACTCTCACTCACACTCACACACTCACACACTCACTCACACAGTCCTTGAAAGAGGGGCAAAGTGTGGTGAAGGTAATTAGTGTCGCTGTCATAAACTGGCAGATTGTGTGCATGTCAATGTGTGTACCTGTGAGTGTGGATGTTTGTGCGGGTTAAAAAGATCTTAAAAAACGAAATGCAACACAAGGAGGGTTGGGTATTATGGCTAAAATCAATATCAGGATATTAATATAGTAAGCAGACCTGGAATTATAACAATTTGCTGTTTAGCTTTTTCTTATTTTAAAGTGTATTGGATATGTTTCTGATGTTGGTCTCCTCGCTGGCGTAATAAAGCAATTTGACCTTGGAAATATTCATATAAACAAATGGTAGTAAAACAAAAACAAAACTAATATCATCATTTCACGGTTTATTTGTCAATACTGAAAAATGTGTGATAAAAAGAACCAAATCATAGATCAGATCATAAACATGAAGATAACCTCTGAAGTGTAAGTGTGCCAATGTCAGTGTGTTTGAAACGGCCCGTTACATGTTCTGCTTTGAGCTATTTTGGTGATTTATGATGTGTGTATGATCCTATTTGCTCGAGTCTTTTGGTGTAGGAGTGAGAGTCCTTCACACTGGCTCACAAATGACTAAAATAGCTTTCACCTGCAATGCTGTTGACCTCTACTTCACTGTAACACCATGTGAAGTGCAGGACTGAGGATGAAGCCAACAAGAGAGGAGAGGTGGACAGATTCAGAGGTGCATATGAGCATGAAAAACCTTCACTGTTTAGGGGGATAAACAATTGAAGACATTAATCCCCCTTTGGATTATGCCTCAAAGCACACTCTATGGTGCCAGCAGATTATCACGTTTACATTTTTTAATCAAATGTGGAAGACTTAAAGGTGGGGTAGGTACGTTTGAGAAACCGGCTCGAGATACACTTGTTATATTCCATGGAATGCTCTTAACATCCCGATAGCAATGAATATCTGAAGTGCTTTGACAAAAAATCCATAAAAAAATCTGTGGAAGCCGTGGCGCTGTAAAAAGCACGACCAATCATCTGAGCCGGCCGGCTAAAGTAACTGGATGGCCTACCTGCCTGTCAGCCTTCCATCTGTGCACAAACTTATCTCGTGCCCTCATTGGTCATGTGCGCGTTTGTGTGTGTTGGAGGAGGGGCTCTGTGAGGAAGTGGCAGATTTTTTCCGGCTGTGTATTTTCAAATTCTAGCGCACTCAAGCTGGTTTCTCCAAAATGACCTTCCCCACCTTTAATAGGATTGTTTCTATGATATTTATACAGAACAAGGTTTAAAACGTGATATTTCAACCTCCTGCAGGTTTCCCTCCTTCGTTCCATTCATAGTTGACAGTAAACGTTCGGTGAGTCCAAAGAGAAAGAGTTATCCGAGTCTACAGGCCTAACCAAAAGCATCTCCTGCCAGCGAGTTCATCCTGAGGAACGTTTTCATTTTTATTCCAGGCTTTTTTCACACTCAGTTAATTTAAAAGTCTGAACGTTTATTGCCTCTTTTAGGGACTATGATGCTTGTTGACACCTTTAGTCTATGTTCAAAACAAATACAGGTGACACTAGATGTCCTTGTTTTTTAACCACATCCTTGGTTTCCCCACAGTTCTCCTTTAGTGGTCTTAATTTTAAGCTATTCTTTTATAACAACATTCATGTAATTCACACTATATCACATGTTTTTGTGTGTACTAGTTTAGATGTGTCTATGAACTTCTTCTCAGCTATGAATTGTCAGTTGTGATTTCCAAGTCACTATTCCCAGTTTATTCTAAATGTATAGTTTATTGTACAAAAATGTCAAAGAATTGTAAACAAAAATGGCAATTTTGATTTTGGAAATCTACAAATTGATTGTTTCATCCAACAAGAGTCTGAAATATAAAATATTTTTAAAAAGGTATTTATAATTCGATGATGTCAAATAGAGAAAATAAATTGAAATCAAGCATACCAATTGACATGCTCTAAGGGTAAAGATGGAGTAGATGGACTAACCATATAGAAAGTATCTGCAACAATATCAGAAAACTAACACATTTGTCAAAATTGACTGCTGTCATGCATTTGCAATCCATCCAATAAGGGCTTGCTGACCTCATATTTGCAGCATGACTCTGCCTCAGGCATGAACTCAAACTCTCACAAAGCTTCGGAGCAGCAGCGGCAGCTTCTAACCGAGGCCAATGGTTCTGTAATTGGCATTACAACTTTGTGGAAACCAAATAATTCGGCTGGTTCAACTCTGCAGCCTCGTTTCTTGGCTGGTGGTAAAAATGTTTACCCCAGAGAGCTACTTCTCAAAGAAACATGTCACAGCAGCACACAATGTCCCATAATGCCTCTGCATCCAGCTGTTGTTCATGGGATGCAAACAATGCATTAGTGTGGAGGCTTTGTTCAGCTATGGGAAGTGTTGGAAAAGCTACAGCACACAGGAGAACAGCTGATGTTATGTGTTGGTTAGTGTGTGAGTCACAAGTTCATACAGTGTGATGTTGTCACTTTGGCACGTGTTGTTACATATTTGTCTTATCAGATTGTCCTATTTGTAAAAGAAGCTCTTGTAAAAATACTTTGTTGTTAATGATTTATATATTGTAGATAACAGAATCCAATTACCCTCACTTCATGCAAAAAGTTAAACATACTCTTCATAGATAGTCAATAATTAATAATATGAACAAATATTGTTACAACTTGCTCTCAAACAGCTACTGGTGCAAAATGGTGGTTCAACAAAAGCTCTTTCTCTAACATTAAAAACATGTTGGTATTTCGGATCCCTGAGGTATTTTCTGACACCATACTGTCACATGTTTCCTCTGTGGCAAATAATTAACAAGAACATCACAACACCACTCCCTCTGCTTGTTTGTCTCTATGACATTTCCACTGTGCACCTAGTTTCTCACATCGCGGTCAGACAGGTGACTGATGGGGAAGTGATTACATGGGACACATGCTCCCACACCAAACAGTATCTAGTTCCTCTGAGAGTTAATGTTCCTCTCTATCTGTGTTATTATCAAAACAGGCCTTTCAGTTCTCCCAGCGCTGTCGCCTCCGGCCCCTGAGCTCTGTCAGGTATTCAGTCACCGGCGTCAAATCATCACCTGCAGAGAAGTGCGACTGTGCCCGTGTGACGGCCAGGTTCATCCACAGCTATGCAGGATGAAAATACCAATCATTTGCACAACATGAAGAAGATTCTTAGGATGCACGCATAGTATGAAGCAGTGGTCACATGCAAAGCAGCTGTTCTGCAGGACATTTGAAATAAAATACAAGCCAGAGAACCATTCATTCTTTACGCAAGATAAGTGTAAACACAAAGCAGCTGCAGATACAAGTTTCTTCCCCCGGAAACAGCAAGGAGGTCCAAAAGGTGATTCATGATTACCAGATGACAGACCATATATCCAACTGGCTGTGCATCTGCCTTGTTTTACTGTACAGAGCTCCACATGGGACGCACATGGGACGCACATGGTGTCAACACGCACAGCTGCACTCTGACATGACATCCCCAATACGTCCTGACAGGAAGCTGCCACAAAACAACAGGCCATTGGGAGCTCATTGAGTCATATTTAAAAGACTGAAGCGAGCATGTTTCCCTTGAAAAGACCTTCCTAAAAACATGAAACTCCCAATGACAGTCCCAATGAAATGCCATAATCCATTATTGATTTATAATCCAGGGACGGATTAGGCGACATTCCATCAGGAGTTGTTTTTCCTCCATCAATGCAGAGATTGGATCCACGGTTTCTGGGTCAAATAATATGTACAAGACTCATATGTGGTAAAGCCGGGGCTCTATATAGGTTTTCCCCGCACTCCAGTTTCAGAGGGACATTTTCTATAATCCATTTCAGCTGACATTCCAACGCGAGAAATACCCCGCTGACTTTCATCAAGCTTTTGTCACTTCCTCTTGGGGGTGTCTAATTCTCAACATATGAATTGAATGCAGCTTGGATTGAGCCTGCTGTAGGACATGTTACACTGAACACAACCAAATATGGAGATTCACTGAGAAACAAAGAACAATTATACAACAGTGTTGTCCCGATAGCTATAGCTTGACATGTCAAGAAATCCTTAAAAAGATATCTGAAAACCAAAGCTAGAACGTTGTCTTAGTCATTAGCAGTCATCAAACAATCTCTAGAGACTGAAGTTCTCTTTGTGCATTCCTATATGCCTTTTTGGGGAGGGCAGGAACTATGTACCATGAATTACATTTAGTCATGATCTCCTCTCCATCAATCCGCAGCTAAAGTTCATACATAGGTTTGTCGGTTTCTGAAAAAGATCCAGCAGTAAAATGGCTATATGTCTCAGTTGAGGTGGTCCTACAGTCAAACCGTACAGTCAGGTACAATGCACTCAAAGCACAGCGACACTGGCTTATCAATCATCATCAGATATTGTTCCTATCTAAGATTTGAAAGCAAGTATCATTCTGTATTAGTTCCTGAGATATTGCTCATGGCATCTTAAAGGTTAAACTCCAGATCACAACCAAACTCAAACCATTTGTTCCTTTATCAGAAGCACATTTTGTGAAAATCTATTGGTGGTATTTTGAGTTATTTTGCTGACAAACCAACAGACCAACATGAGCATATCCTCTTCATTATTTTTCCAACACTGCAAGAGTTCCTTACCTCCAACACAGGCCCGGCCCCCAGGATGATCTGCTCCACCCCGCTGGCGAACCCCTTCTGGCTGAGAGCAGTCAGGTGATGAATGAGGAAGTTGGTGCTCTGGGTCTTCCCTGACCCACTCTCCCCAGAAATGACTATGCACTGGTTCTTCCGTCGCTGCAGCATAGCGTGATACGCCACGTCCGCCACAGCATAAATGTGTGGCTCCAGCTTCCCAAGTGTGTGGTTATCGTACAATTTGACATACTTAGGATTATAGATTGGCAGGAACTGAAAAGGGTTAATCACAATAAGAATACTCCCAATGTAAGTGTAGATCTTCTCCTGGCGGAAATGTGCACGGAGGCTCTCCAAAATAGTGCGTTCTGTTAGCTCCGGGAGAGCGCAGAGGTCGGACGGAGGGTCGCTCCCTGCAGGCTGGGGGGAGGAAACCCCGCTCCACCATGCGGCGCCGCTCCTCAGTCAACCGCAGCCACATCTGCAGGCTGCCGCCATAATGGATAGACCCGTCCAAGTTCTTCTCCCTCAGGAGGAAGCGGTAGTCGTCTCCGCTGCAGAGGCCGCTGCGGTTCTCCAGGGCGCTGCGAGGCCAGAGCATCATCCTCTGCACGGGGCAGTCGGAGGGGTTCAGGATCCACTCCTCCCCGCCAAACTCCTTCACCTCAGCCAACACGTAGCATTTGGTGCGATCCAGGCGCAAGCCGCTCGATGAGGCAGTCGATGGCCTCGGCAGCCGTGGTGTTCTTGCGGGCGCAGACGGGGCAGTAGATGGTTCCCTCGGCCAGGGCGCCCGGGGGGTACCACGCGCAGGCTGAACTCCTGGTCCTCCAGGCGCCGCCGCATGCTGCCGGTGACGCTGGCCATGTTGGCGCTGCTAGCATAGCTGCAGCCGCCATCTTGTAAGCTCATGGCGGCGTTGCAGGTCCCATCAGCACAGCGCTCTCTGGGCCCCGAGGACTGACTCAGGACATCCCAACTGGAGGAGACAGAAGAGAGGACAAGATGTTAGACATGGTGGTAAAAAGTTCAAAGAAGGTATTTAATGGTTTCTTTCTGACATCACTTTATGTCCTCGGGCATTTCCAGTACATTGAGTCACAACAGGGTCAGTAGTGTCATGGCGATTTCATCTGTCCCATGACACAGTGGGTCGTCTCAATAGGCTTTCTGTTTTGGATCGTAAAGGGAACGCCACAAAAGAGGAGCATGAGACCAACTCAAAGAGAGAGACAAGAACTGATAGCTATTCAAAACAATGAGGAACAGTAGCTGCTTCATGAATTGAAAGGCTAACCGCCAGTTTATCAGAGCCGCATACCCTGAGTGTTTGTGTGTGCGTGTGTTGGTGTGTGTGTGTGTGTGTGTGTGTGGTGTGTGTGTGTGTGTGTGTGTGTGTGTGTGTGTGTGTGTGTGTGTGTGTGTGTGTGTGTGTGTGTGTGATAATAATCCAAGGGCTCTAGCAGTGTGCCAAGATTAACAGCTGCCACCTTCCTCACAAAAGTGGCTGTAATGAGAGCACAATGGTTTAATTCACCACTTCCCCGTTGATAGTGAACACAGCACTCCATTCTCTTTCCACACACACACAAACACACACACTTAAATCAAGTTTCACAGACTACAAAGCTTCAAATGTGATACAAAAATGATACACTGTAAATTACCATTAAATATGCTGCTGAGTGTCTAACAGTGATATAAATAGCATGAATGTAATGTTTGTTTATCTCATATATTACGTTATAAGACATTTCCCACTGCTTTAACTTTAAATTATAATATACAAATCGTGCCAAACCAGACTGAAATTCAATATAAGTAGTTTTTGCAGCATTGGGCTCCAAAGATAAATTGAATAAAGTAGGTATCATTTCCTTATTGAAAGTAGATATAATCGAATTCTTTAATTCAATTCTTAGTAACGGCTACAAGCACATATGATCTATATTTGTATAAGAAATATAACTGGTCTGATTTGGGAATTCAAGCATTTTCTATATTGCATCATAACCAAATGCAGAAAAGTGTTGGTTTTGGTTTGCTGGACAGTCTCTAAGGAAATAGTAAAAGCCATTACCGAACAATGAATATGAATTACTAAAAGGTAGAATGCCAACAAAGATAGAAACAAGAACTCAATTTAAATGTCGGCCCAAACCGAGACCCCCGCAGTGACAGCTTCATTGTTCGCTGCACTTCCTCATCCCCTCACTCTCTACAGGATTTTCATATTTTCATATTTTGCAGGTTTTCTATCTGGCTTCATCTCTCTCATGCTGTTTCAGTCTCATGCTGGATATTTACCATCAAAAACAGGCATCACATTTCAACATTCTGTTTAAAACAATTTTCCTTTTATCAGGAACCATAATGCAAGATAAGGCATTGAAAAAACACTTTACACTGAACTGAGGTTATTATTTTTGATGCGAGCATGTACCACTGTCCTTTTACGGTGGGGTATGTAATTTATTTCCGAAATACTTTTTGTTATATTCCATGGAATGCTCTTAACATCCCGATAGCAATGAATACATTAAATGCTTTGACAATAAATATAAAGATATTTCATCTGTGGAAGTCGTAGCGCTGTAAAAAGCACGACCAATCATCTGAGCCGGCCCGGCTAAAATAACTGGATGGCCTACCTGCCTGTCAGCCTGGTGTGTTGGAGGAGGGGCTCTGTGAGGAAGTCTGAAGGAAGGGGCAGATTTTTCCGGCTGTGTATTTTCAAATTCTAGCGCACTCGAGCTGGTTTCTCCAAATGTACATACCCCACCTTTAATTGAATCCTGCTAATGTTTTAATCATCTCTACCCTTTTTGCTGGATGACTTGTAATTGTCTTCACCGGCTCCTTCAGCTAAGTGCATGTGGTAGACCGATAGAGGAAGAGAGAGAAATAATAGGATGAGAAAGCCCAGACAGACCCTCCTCTGCAGTGATCCTGACCACCTACAGCAGTCTGCAGCAGTCCAGACAGAGAGAGAGAGGGAGGAAATAACCAGCTGGGCGTCTGTACGAAACAAAGAGGGGAACTCTGAGGGATGAAAGACCTAGCAGAGGCAGACAGACAGAGATGAGAGAGAGAGGGAGAGAGTACACAAGACTCAAAACAAGCGTCCCCCACAACTGATACATCCGCTCCCTGGGACGCTAATGAGATGTTCAAACGGGTAACAGGTCAGAGTTTAACTGTATTATGCAGAAATGTACAGTCAGTGCTCGTAGACTGCAGATCAGTAGAATATACTGAAATTAAAAAAGGTAATTTGAAATGTACAACTGCTTCTGAGCTATGCTGCAAGAAAAAGATTGACGTACATCTAGATTTTCTGTTGACTCCACTAAAACCTTCAATGTATTTTCTTGCTGCTCTTTCAGTAGCCAAACAACAAGATGATGCATCACAGCCAACATGGGAAAGGGGTGGAACAGACACAACCTGCCACAGTTTACCCCAGTCTACAAAAGTAATGGTAGAAAGAAAGGTAATTACAACTCATCAGGAACTGAACACGCACTACAGAGTTGTCATGTGAACCAACACAATTTAAGTGTGCTTCCTGTTTTTCCATTCATAGAAAACAGCTCTAGGCTATAGTGTAACTGAGATTAGCCTCAAATTAGCCTCCGGTATTATGCTAGCTTGGTTAGCACTACTGAAAGCACTCGTTTTCCCTGTTTACCTATAATGGGACTCCCGCCAGACAATAACAGGTTTAATATTACAAAAAAAGCCAAACATCCATTAAAGTGTTTCCCCTTATATCCATTTGTCAGTGTCTGTGGTTGGTTCTTATGACAGATCGGTGATTCCCTAATTTTTCTCTGTGAAGTTAACTGGAGGTGATGTAATGTAGCCTCAGTGTTTTCTATGAAGTGAGTACTGCTTTGGACTTGAAATAAATGCTTTGTCAGTAACCACTCTTAGGTTACTTGTGTGCTCTGATTAAGTTGGTATGCAGTTAATCGTTGTTCTAATGAGAAAATAATGTCTCAACAGACATCATAATGCAGTCAACCCAGGATACAAACACACTGCAGTCCCTTCTTGTATCCTAGCCAGCTTAAATCGTCACTTCCTAAGTGCTCTTTACTTTGACTGCTGGCCATTTTTGGTTTGATAAAACGTTCAGTTACTAAAACACGTTGCCCCAGCCTCGATTCAGCTCTCTGATTGGTTCATCTTTATCAGTTCTCTTCCTGAGCTGTCAGTCCAACTCAGTGAGCCTTTAAGCTAAGAGCTAGTGACTTATGACTGTGGACTTCATGTCTTTGACTTCGAGTCATCGCTAAAACGTTAGCCGCTAGGGAAAAAGACAGGCTGCTTTCACAATGAGAACAGATGACAGATACAGTAGAGGAAAGAGTGTGTGGGTTTCAGTATGCGAGAACCAACTGTCTACATTTCTTCATATTGGACCAGACCAAAAATGATATACCGTGTGTTACTCAGGGTATAAAATTGAATAACAACTAGAAAAACAAAAGTATTCACATTGGTTCTAGGCTAATTTCCCCTGATGACTAAGCTTGGGTCAACAAAGTTATTTTAAATGTTAAATGTTGGCTCTGAACTAGTGGGAAACTGTACAACAAAACATGGGAAATCCACCACGAAACAACGTGGATAAATCCCCCATTTCTTGCCCTTTTTCACACTGATTGATAAAGATCAGCACATTTTCTAGATAGCTGGAGTTTCTGTTCTCCAGGAAAACATTTAATTTAGACACAAGAGCCGCATTCACACCGCAGTACTTTTCCCACTTTAGTTCCGATATAGTTCCGAAATGTTGCGTTCACACCAAAAAGAGCCGGAACTAAAATTAGTTAATGAGAACCTTTTAACCCCCTTTTCCGTCCCTGCTAGAGAGCAGGGACTTTCATGGGAGAAAAAGGTTCCTATTTCTGATTGGCTGGGCGGATTGCAAACTACCCCCCGTAAAACTCCCAAAAAGTTTTGTGAAGCCGCCATTTTATTATCCTCACATCAGCATTATTAGCATTAGCATTAGCATTAGCCCAGCGCACAAACGCAGAGAGACTAATTTATGGCAACACAAAAGAAAACATGGGAGCGGTGGAGATGAGGAGGTGTCGGCGCTCTGGCGATTTACTCGTAAGGCTTCAGTAGAAGCTGCTGGGACTCCCAGCAGCTTCTACTGAAGCCAGTCCCCAACTCCGGGGACTTCCGGCCGGGGACTTTGGGCGGCAGTATACGCCGTGAAGTTGTTTGCGGCCTGCCAGTAAACCCAAAGCAAAAGAAGCAGAAGTGACGTCAGCGGCTTCATTTGCCTAATCTCTCCCCAGGAACTTATTCCGGTGTGAACGCGATCTGTACTTAGTTCATGAGAACTAAAGAGTTCTCATGAACCTTTGTGGGAAAAGTACTGCGGTGTGAATGCGCCTAATGTAATTGGGTTTGTATATTTCGAGCTGAAACAAAAGTGATTTTCTTGTAATTAACAGTATCAACATAAAATCTAAAAGAGAATGACTTTACAGTAAGTCACTCGGAAACACCAATTATCTCTTGGAAATGCCATTCACAAACACCACAGATGAGACCAAAATAAAAGGATATTGCGGTTTACCAGTTAAAAGGATGGACAGGAAAGCTAAATCCCTACTTCTGGTAATGACGTTTTTTCTCCAAAAAACAAATATATCCTGGTTTAATTTGTCCCTGCCTCGAAAGCTATGATCCCTGAGTGAACCTCCAGCAGAAGATCAGCGGACTGTCTGCTGAGACTTCAGGAGTATCTGCAAGGATCAGGGGTGGGGACTGATGGATGCTCTTTTAAGGGTCAAAGGTCAGAGCAAGGAGCAAGGATACATACCAGCTGAGTCTCTGACAAATCACATGTGTGGAGTTACGAAGCTGGAATGAAAAAGGAAAGTTTCCTGGCATTTCCTTTAACAGCTGGCTGCGGTGAGGTCATTCAGGCAGGAACTGGACGGCTATTAGACG